TAGATTCAAATAGTTTGGACAATTCTGCATTTGAAAACTTAGAACTTGCTTCACACTTTTGAATAGTTCTAATTTTTGATCTAAAAATATGTACTCAGACATGACATGACCCAAAATATCAAACAATTATATCGTAAATAGCTAAGTAATATGGATTATGGGAATTTGATGGGTTTAAGACTTTAGTTAATATTTTATTACCATTAAATAAGTGTGAACCAAATTGTAAGGGACTTACAATTTTATTTCAAGTCCTTAGGAAAGTAGTATAGTTTTTTAGGATAGTTTATGTATAAGATATTACACGTGACAAAGAAGATTGTCTATTAATGTAATTAGGATTTTTAATTAATGTTGGACTGATAAGCCTATACAAAGGGCCTGAGGTTGTAACAAAGGTTGAGTATATTGAGATTTTCAGATTTCATTAAAACTTGTGTGAACATGTGAGATTCATGCTTATGAGTAAGAGAGATTCTTATTCATCCTAAATTGGTAGAGTAATAAATTTGATTTCCCAGATTAGTTGATCCAAAATTGGATATAAGTCAGAAGACTTGTGCTTGATTATGTAATTGTTTCTATTCATATAAAATCTTCTCACTCAATAACTCATGACCATCAAAGTAACAGTAGCTTGTCATTGAAGGCAAGTTTTTCATTAAGTATTTTGTGGTAATGAGACTTCTAGAGTGTTATTTTCTTCTAGAGTGTTTTTCATTAAAGTTAGGATTGTTCGATTTGGTTTTTTATGAGATCAACTTTGCATTCTTTGTGGACATTCGTACAGACTTGAAAACCATAGAACTTTTTTGTAGTTGTGCATTTAGTCAAGAAGTGTGGCATAAAGTTCCTAATTGGATTGTAATACATCACTCCTCTGTTAAATACATGGTGTTTGGAAGTATAATTGTCAGCTAAATGGTTCCAGAGATGCTAATACTGTGTCTATTGTCTAGCCCTGTAGCCCATACAGTTTGTTTAATTTGGCTGGTCAGGAATGCTAAGTGCTCTAAAAACTTTCAACAATCTATCGCTTGTTGCATTCATGTAATTAAAATAAGCACGTTCCATAGAGTTAGCACTAATAAGTAAATAAAAAGGTTTCTTAGAAGTAGATAAGTCTGTATTTAGGTACTTGTACTCAGGTTTCCTCCAATGCCAAGGCAACCCTTCATAGGAGAGTTCAGCCTTAGTGTACTTAACTCAAATTTTGGTTGGTGAAATTAAATTACCAAAAACAAATGCAAATAATATGTTATACATAGAATAATTACCAGAACCAAACGCTGAGAATCACAAATTCTTGATATGTTGATGGGTGTTAGACTGTTAGTTGAGCACCAAATTAACAATGCATAAACTATTAAATCCAACATAAAAAGTAACAACTCAGTAACATCATAAGATAAGGAGAAAGGAAAACAGCATACCTCGTTAAGCTCCTTCATACATTCAGCGACTCTCTCCATTTCTTCATCGAACCTTGACCTCCACTCCGCTGACTCGTCCACTGCTTCCCTATGGGCGAGATCAAATTGTCTCCTGCCCATTGGTATGACTAACAATTTAACTCGTGTAGCTTCCAGTACAAAATTCAATGATTTGGCAGCTGAGCATATTACCAATACACTTGACTACACCAATTTCCAGCAATATTCTCATTACCAAGTCAAAAGTAGATTACCAACATAATTATTATTTTTTAAAAACCAGAAAAATTCAAAAAATTTCGAGAGAAACAAATCATAATCTATCCATAATGGACCGCAAAAATGCTGCAGGAGACAGAAAGCGAATGAGAGCCTTTCATGGTCCTTTCCAAATCATTTAAGTGTTACACTCAAAACACCGGAATAATTCATTCAGTTTTCACAATTTGGCTCCTACAAATTTCTCCTCCGAAGCTACCGAAAATCCAAGTTTACAGGGGCAAAAGTGTAAGTTTTGTGGTAACTTCAAGTAGCAGTTTTGCTCTGTGATAAACGAAACTTGTTCATCACATGATCACAGAAGTTAACTGGGGCATCTCATGTAATTATATACCGTACAATTGAAACCTAATTATTCAAACTAAATGTCAAAACCTATAAGAACTTTTAGCCTAAATTAACAAAAAATAACTAACCACAAATGCTTGTAAGGTCAAAGTAGTAAGTTGACATATATGACATAAAAATTGATCATTTGAGGCATGTAGTTTTGCACTCTACTGCCTCATCTTCATTAGGTATTTAAAACATGAGACTAAATTTTTTATCATTATCAAATGCCACTTAATTGGCTCGATTAGCTTCCCCCCTCCATCCCCCATCCAAATTACATTACTAGCTCAAATTACACTATCAATATGACTATTAATTCCGGACATTGCTAATTTACATCAATTGCATGGATCCCTCATCCTTTTTACTAGTCACATTACTCGTTCAAATTACACTATCGATGTGACTATTAATTCCGAAAACTCCTGATTCACATCAATCACTTGCATCCCTCCGATTAAATAATTGTCGCATTACACTACCAAATTCCGGATGCACCAAATCCACATCAATCACATGCCACATTTTCATTTTCAGTAATTAATCTCGTCCAAAATTAGACAAATACTTGATCACAACAAGGGTTCAAAAACTCAACAACATAATCTCATAATCCAATCAGAAATAGCAGTATATGAACCAGTAAATTGAAAATAATAATAAAATTGAAGAGGTTTGAAAGTGAATACCTTAGCAATTCAGTATCATCAGCAGAAATGCGGTAATCAAGAATCCATAACCTGAAGTAAACAACAAAACCCAAACCCATAACAATGGCTAATCCAAGAAGAAAGGGTCTTCTTGAAATGCCCATTTTCTCTCTCTTCCTTTTGGTGTGTCCACCACTCGTAGTAAGGTTCATGATCACTGAGTTTTGTCGGAGTATTTGAGGATGCAGATTACGGGCTCGATTACAGTTGAAAGGGGGTTATGTTTGTTTAGACTGATAAAAGTGACTGATGTTCGAATAGTGACTGATGTTCGAATATGGATTTGCTTTATTCATGGGCCATACTGAGAGAATTATCACTCGGGTATTAACATATTTGGGTCAGATCTGGATCGGGTCATCTCGGATTTCGATCATATTAAAATCGACTCAATTTGAATAAATTATTGTAATATAAAATATTAAATGAGCAAAAAAAAAGCTCTTGAATACACCTTATACTTACATGCATATAAAAATTTTCAAGTGTGTTTAGAGATGAAGTTATATGTAGGACTAGTTTTGAGAATTGGACAACCTTTCACGGTTATTTCATATAATGTTTGTATTGCATGAAAGGCACATAGAATCTATAACTATTACTCTGTACTAAAACCTCCAACAAGGTATTATATTTGCAATATTCAAATTAAGGGCAACAACCTTTTAATTATCAACTACTATGTACAATGTATTTGGTCCATTTCACAAGAGATCAAGCACATCATATTCAATGTTACAGCTTCAATGTTAGAGCACTTTTTTCAGTTTCATAGTTGGAGCATTCACCAATCACTATATCAGTCGAGAAATGAACAATGCATTAGATTGGATAGCAAATGTGAGTCATTTAGTTACCGATAAGTGATAAATAGATATTATTCCTTGTAATAACTCTACTTTAATTCTTCACAAGGGTTTCCAAATATTATTCCTTGTAATAACAAAAAAAGCTTATGTCGTACTAATTAAAACAAAAGTTGCTAACATCATAGTTTCCATGTCAACTTTTCATCAATTCAACTTTTCCCATTTAAATAATTAATATTCTATTTAAATATTCGAAAACTAGTTCTAAGCACAAACAATGCCTCGAGTCAACGAACGTATAGTATCTTTATTTATTAAAAATTTCTTTTTAAGATAACATCCAAATTTTCGTGACTTAGGGTCTATTATCTTACGTTGAAATTCAGTTCAGCTCATCACCTAATTTCCTACTCTTATAAAATATTCAGTTCAGTTCAGATCAGTTCAGCTCAATTCAGTTTAGTTCAGATCAGTTCAGCTAAATTCAGTTTAGTTCAGTTCAGTTCAGCTCAATTTAGCTCAGTTCAGTTCAGTTCAGTTCAGTCAATGAGAACAAACCCTTAATGGTTAAGGTTTTAATATTTATAATCTTGAGATTATGAGATGAAAAGTGATACATAGCATCTAAACTTGTTAAGGAACGGTTTTTAATATATTAGTATAATATAGATACAGATAAGATTCTATAATTTTCTAGTGTGTGTGTTTCATCATAACTATATTGTCTATCTATAACTTTATACTAAAGGCGAAACCAGGAATGACACATGTCATCTCCTGGTTAAAATTTTTCCCTCCAAAAGTTTTATTTTTTTTTATTTTTTTGGCCAAAGCTTCTTAGAAAAGTTTTTAATACAAATATATGCAATAATATTTCATTTTCTATTTGATAAGTATATTCTATTTGTACACATTCAAACAAAGATATTATTTTTTTTATACAATAATATGCAATAATAGTTTGCTATCTATAACTTTGTAATGTAATTCATAGTTATTTTTATTAGTCGTGCATATATTATTCTCTCTGTTTTCTTTAGTGTGATAAAATTTTTTAAAAAAATTATAATTACAGAACTTTCATCCTATTTTGCAATTAGGTATAATTTTTTATAATTAAATAATAGTGTTAGACTAATGATAAGTATTAAGTATTATAAATTACCGTGCATGGCACGGGACTTAACCTATATATATACTAAAAGACACACCAGCAATGACACATGTCATCTTTTAGTCTGTCCTTAGTATATTTTTTTAAAAAAAAAACCTTTTGAAATAAAATGATATAGAATATTTCCATAATATTTTCGATCTTTTGGAATCGAGAGGTAAGCTTTAACTACTTGAGCTGTCCCTCGCTCTCTATAATAAGGTACTTGCCAACATAGACATCTAACCATATGTTTCTATAAATTCCTATACAAGTAATTATTTTAATGTATATAATTATTATTTATAGTAAAAAAATCATGAATATATATCTTTCTTCTTATTTTTTTAGAAAGAAAATAAGTTTATAGTCACAGACTCACAACATATGTAATGAACATGGACAAGAAGCTATATGCAATTTCCCAGCTTCTTCATCCTCTTTTCAGTAGGGTTTACTATATAACTACAACATGATTAAGGTCCTTTAGATTCATTTTCCACCTCTCATGCTCTAATTGAACCGTCTCTTGACTGTAAGCTTTCTTCACCAAGAACTTCATATTGTATACTCAAATGCCCATCCACATGAGTGTCTATTGGTTCGGGTTTGTTCTCCCTACGAAAAATAGCAAAAAGTTAGCAACCATACTCTACAGAATAATGAAGACAGTTTTTAAGATCATAGATGGGAAATAAACATGGACTGCAATTGCATTATAAAATTTAGACAACGGAAAAAAAGATTCAAGAGAGAGATCAGTGTGTACGTTTTGCAATAGATTACAAGTCCCACAACCACGATTGCAAAAGAAACATAATATAGCCAGTTAACCTGTACAGACAGAAATATGTTCGCTTATCACATCAGCAGTCCAATTCATGAATTACAGGTCTAATCCATCATTATAAAGCTGTAAATTTTAAGAATTAATCATGCATGAACTTGTATACAGAGGATAATAAGGGTTAAATTAGTACCTCTTCGTGATAAAATAGTATGCGGATGACAACTGACCACATATTAGATGTAAGTATAGATAGATTGAACAATGTAGCTCCACTTAGCTACACGCGAAGCACATCAAAAACAGAATGAACAATTCTCCTCACGCAAAAGCAGTAATTAACTTGATCTAAGAAAGAATCAGAGTTGAACAGAAACAATACATATGTGATTATATAGGAAGGTTAAACGCGTCCTACCTTAAAAATTAAAGGAACAAGGCTGTAGAACAAACAAGTTCCTACTGCAAATCCAGCAAATACTAGTATCTGAAATAAATTAAAATCAGTCATTCTACCATTTCAGAGCTAGAATGCCAGAACTGACCGAGTATCTTATGCTAAAATCAACTTTTAAAAATCTTATTGAATTTTCTTGATTAATGATAAGTTTATTATCTCATCTAAAAGTTAGAAAGGTCATACAATGAACGTAAATCAAGCTGTTGTAGCCTTTGGTCATTACATCAGATCAGAATGAAACATTTACATCAAGAAAATCATGTGTATTGCTTCCAAGTTATACTTACAATATCTGCAGACCACTCAATTGCTTCCAAATCTTGCCTTTCAAATAGTATACTGATAAAATGTTATGTATTGAAACAATTTAAAGAGAGTTTTGTTATGCAACATGATGCTTAAATCTTGAAAACTAATAAAAGAGTATATAGCAGCTTTTATTCAAGGATACATCTGACACATGCTCACCAGCATTCCAAAGACACCAAGCATTGAAATTACTTCAACGATGTCTTTCTGTTTGACACAGAACTCCTGCATACAGGGTTTTTAAGTACGTTAGAGAAAAGAAGACAAGCAAACATTGTGCTAACAGTTGCAGGAAAATGACTGAGACCAAATTGTCTTAAGACCAGACTGAAACATTTTAATTAATTTTGTTTCATTGTTTTATAGTTCGAGATACTTGATGTTAGAGTATGATGAATATGTAGATACAATAGCAAGATAGTGCAGAACAAAAAGAATTCAATTGAACTAGTACAGTAAGAAAATCGTAAACAACTTACCTCACCAACATTACTCAATGCATAAAACAGAGTTGCAACTATTACAAGAAAATCACCAAAAAGAGGTCTAGATCCACCTGAAAAAAGCAATGAAAAGGTAAAGCTAAGGGTCTGTTCACATTTACTGAAATGGGCTGAACTGAACTGAATTGATTTGAACTGATCTGAATAGAGATGAAATGAATATTTTATGAGAGAAGGAAATTAGGAGCTAAACTGAACTAAAATTAAGCTGAAGTGAACAGGCCCTAAATCAGCTGTGTCCAAAAAAATACATGTAGTGGACTGGCTTGTAGATACTACTTACAAGTACACCATTATTTTGATTTTGTAGCGATGAAAATAAGCAAATGGAATGCTAGGTTCCATTAGTACTTCTTGTGATGTGCTGAATAGTTTAAACATGTACAGAAATGTTCTTTAACATTGTATATGTTTATTTTAGCTTAATGAAAGGATATCTGGTGTGCATAACAGATATTAAAAAATTACAATGTGCAAAAGGAATTTGAGATAAGAAGTTATAATGCAACTGAGAGGCTCCTGAATCAGGTAGACAGATACGTACTGCAGTTTTTCTACAATGAACTAAAGGAAGTGTTGATGACTCTTAAGGGTTGTCATATGCATTAGGCAAAACCGCAGAAGTATAAGGAAATACTAACCTCCACCACCAATCGTAGCATCAGAGAGGAGTGCGAAGCAAAGGCCAACTACACATATTGCAGCTCCAATGTACTGCCATACAGTGTATCTTGTGCCTAGGAAGAGCCATGTCAAAATCATCACCCAAACTATCGCCCAACAGTCAAAAAGCGTCACACTTGTGACAGATGTATATTTGAATGCCTTAATAACTGCATAGAAGGATCTCAATCATCAGAAAAATCATCAACAATACAAATAGCAACATATCAGTAAAAACAACAGATGAAAATCTTACAAAGTTTAAAATGAAACTGCTAACAATGTACACATACATACACAATATATGATTATATGCGTTATATATGAGTAAAACACTGAGAAACAAATTATAGAGTATTAACAGTTGATAATATAAGCCTAGACTTATGATGCCCATAAAAACCAAAGAGATTGCTGAAAATTGCAAAATGAGACAGCAACACATTCGAGCAATCAAACCAGCAAGGTGCCAACTTGTGCAACACAAATAAATCTTTGCTGATATGTCGACAGTAAAACTTGAGAAATTCATCTTAGAAAAATGTTAGAATTGGAAAGTGTACAAGTGTAATCATAAAGTTTGGCATTCAATCGTAACCATTTCATCACTTCTCTTATCCTAGATAACAATACATGCCATGAACTTGGATAGTTGTATCTTATAGTTATATTCGACACAACAAGAACCCAAAACTTGAAAAATAAGGAGCTAAGTTTTTTTTTGCAATACCAATAAGAAGCATTGAAGAGCTTATCTGCCTAAATTTAAGGAATACTAATACATGATTGTAGCACTCCAAAGAAATGTACTTAACTTACAAAGTAAATTCCCTTGAACATCAACAAATGCTAAAAGGGCATAATAATACCAAGGAACCTGCATATCCAAATTCCAGCATAAAAAATCATTATCCATGCATAATTGGTCAAGTAGATATTTTCTCTTTTCGGTGGCGTATAGACATGTGTATTTAAGATCTAACAGTGATATAGACGAGATTCGATACAATTTAGACTGAGCATACCAGCAATTTCTTACGCCTAAAGAGCATGATACTTCCATAAATTGAAGCCAAACCGAAGTAAGTAAAAAATGACTGTGTCACTGGGACATCAACACCTGTCATAAATTAACATAAAAAAATAAATTAAAAAAAATCAAGATTGAATATATCTCGATGTTTCATATAATTTCTATAACGGAAATTAATTTACATTAATAAAATGCTCGTTCTACCTTTTCCTCAAACCAAAAGTAAAGAAGGTAACTTACCACGAGTCGCTAAATAAGAAGCAGCAAAGCTGGTAGTCGCCAAAGTGAAGGAAATAATTTGACCCAAAAATAGTGTGAAAAGTACATTACAAAGTGATTCATGATTTTTCAACCAATTACAGCAACGATCCCTGCCTTCCATTTTAAGATGGCTGCTTTCAAAGTTCGAAATTCTAAGAATAGCAAGTATTTTGGGTACTGAATCTAATTTTTATACGGAGTAGCAAAAATAATATCATTAATATAATAGATAATGCAAAACATGAGGTGTACATTATTGATTTTGGTGGACATTATTGATGCCATATAATTAAATTAACTTATTGCACAATCAAGTCAACTTAATTTACACTAATTAGGCCGCTGCTTACAGCTGCTCTGCTCTACTCTACTCTACTCAGATCAAATCTGCTCTGCTCTATTTTTAAATAATAATTAATAATAACAATAATAATAACTAATATTGTATTGATGATAATAATTTATTATTTTGAATAATTATAATAATTATTAATATTAAAAATAATTTTAATAATTATTAATAATAATTAATATTTATTAATCATAATAATAATAATTATCAATAATAATATTTATGTTATAAAATAAGAAGAAATATGAGAGATGGAGAGAGAATTTATCTGTATATTTTTATTCCATATGATAAGGTATGTATACAATGATACAAAGGAGGATAATGGATATCCACAAATATTTCATAACACTCCCCCTTGGATGTCTATTATCGAAGGTTGTGCCTCATTAAAACCGTATTAGGAAAATCCTGTGGGATAAAATCCTAATGAAGGAAAAAGAGTACAACATTTTTCGTAAAACACTCGAAATGCTACCTCGTTAAAAGCGTTACCAGGAAAACTCAATATGGGATAAAAACGCATGGTTAAGGGAAAAAGAGTGTAGCGCGTAATTTCTCCTCCTGATGAATACATAACTTGAGGTCTTCTAATGTAATGAATCCAATATAGTTAAGAGTCTTCTCACATGACGCAGAATAGTATCATTCCTTAATTTTCGATCCTCCCAAATCTTCAAATCTTTACGCGATCAAGTGAGTCTTCATATCACGAAACCTATAACAATAATACATGTGTTTGTCCACATTTCATTTGAAATCTCTGTTTAAAGTTGTATTAATCATTATACTTATGCCTTCTTCTAGAGGCCGTGAATAATAGAAATTGATGATCATTATTATTTGATTAAACATTCCTTAATAATAATATGGCAACGCATGATATTATTAATGTTGATTTTTTAATCATTTATGAATAATAATATAACACATGTAACTAAATACATTAATCATGGTTCTTCTGGACCGTGATAAAACAGTCTCACGCATAAGTATCTTGTTGATTCTTTAGAATATTTATAATTGACATGATAGTTCTCTTTCTTATTACAAATAGTAATTCTCATTATTAACACTTATACGCTCAAACTTCAGGTTGAGATGTCAATGATTTAGTCACATAGACTAAAAGTTTAATAATAGTTACAATATTCAAAATATAAATTTGTAGGGATAGATAAATAAATGCATCGTACATAAGTTCTTCATGAACCCTTCTTCTTACATGATTCATAACATGCAACTAAATTGGCGTCATCAATAATTTTATCACAATTATTATAAGCCCATTGGAATATAAATATCTCTTTCTCATTTTCCATCAATGTTGTAAATATGTCTTACTATACTTTGAATGAACATTGACATACACCACAATTATTGTATAGAAAGTAATGCATGCAATATGAGATATAGAAAATATGATAACATATTAAACAAATTATACAATAAGTAATGCATATAACAACTTTAAACATATGCAATAAATAATCCAGTAACCTATGACTCACACATACATATGAACAAATATAGGACTCGAAATAATGCAAGACATTGTACAGTGGGGATTTTAAAAGTCTATATTTCATTGGACTTCTGGTCCATGATAAACTATTATCATTATGTCGACATTAAAATGGACATATATTCCAGATCCCTTATTCACTAGTCTATTATATCATGCATATGCATTACTTATCGATTCCATCATATACCGGTAAATCATCATATAATTCCTCAAGGTACAATTTTAATTTGCATGCTATTTTGACAATGATATCTGAATACATATTTCATTGGTACCATCATAATTTTTCTTATATCATCATAGGCCATCTATTGTAATAATTCAGATATCTACACAACTTCAAGGGTATTTCATACACTTGGTATTAATATACTATTATACTATTAAAAGTGTCGACTGCACTATCTTGCCATATATCACATCTTTAATATGGAACCGATTATACAATCTACACTTCAGGTTTAGTGATTCAAGTATATACAATTGGCAAGATTTATCTCAATGTGCAACATATCTTGATAACATATGGACGAAAGTTGGCTAGAAAACATTTTAAATTACCATTATATATATAGGGATCATCAGTTTAATTAATTTTTTCCAACTTACTCCAATTCTCCCCCTAAGTTGGTAAAATATCTCATATGTAGGGGCATCACAGTTCTTCACCAACTAGTATACAAATTTGCAATAAAACTCATTTCATGGGAGGATCATGATCAACAAAATTCATCTCTTAGAAGAGTTATATTAAACAAGTTTGTATCTCTTCTAGAGAGCAGTTTTAAATCATTTCTTCATTAACTATACATTGCATAACGCATATGTATTTATTATTAAATCTTTCATAATTTATTCACTTCAGGAGATCAATAATTCAACATCAATGGGGAGACATATGTTGTGTAGTTGAATTTCCTTCTTTTCCTATTTCTTATGTGCTGACATACAATAGCTCCAATCAATAGAATTGTGATACAAATATAAACTTGCTTGTAATTGTACTAGGTAATTATCTTCAGGATCACTTGAAACCTTGATACTATGATACTAATTAAATATTCAAAATTTCCACTTACAGCATGTATTTGGTGAACTTCTAGTCATCTATTACTCTTTTGTATGAAAATTTATTCAAAACGCATATATTATCTCTTGAAATTTTCTTCAACACAAATTATTAAAAATCACAATCCAAATGTACCTCAATCTCAATGTTATATCTTGTCATTCAATTCATTTCATATATTTGACATTGAGAGAGTATCAGCACATTATCAAATAAAACTTCTGGTTTCCAAAACGGGCATTTATTGAACCTGGATGGCCTGATTTAATTATTACATCCAATCACATCTCTGAAATTAAACTTTAGTCAGTTTTTCAACACTAATGATCACTTTATTAAACTTACTTTATGCATGGCCATGAATATGATGTGATATTAGAACACCAACATGTGTTTCTTTATACAATTGACAAGACAATCAATTAATACTTCATCCAATAATAACTTATACTATGCTGGAGTTTTGACTATAATTTGATACATGTTAATCTTGTTGGACATTTCATACTCTTCTGGAGTTTTTTATAGAATCATGGAACATAAGAATTTTACTATAAGTTATTTCTTCTAGAAATGTAATGGGATTTATCACTTCCTTAACTTTGTCATTATCGTGACTCCTTTTCTTTTTGAAGATATTTAATTATCTTTAGAACAAATTGATCCATCACGCTTTAGGCGTGCTATAGGTTTATCAGTAATCAATGTTGTCCTCCTTTTAGGACATCAATTTTTATTGGAACATTTACAAATAGTATACATACGATTAATGACATTTGTTTTTATCCATCTTCATGATGATATCATTTCGAAATATTTGAATTAACATGTAGCCACTTCTATTAAATAAATCATTGACATAATGTATATATGTACCAAACTAATAACCATTAATATATTTTATTATTTAGGTGCAAGGATTACATAAATAATGGAATAGATATAATCTCCCCCTAATCCTTGCATATGGGGCATGAAATGAATCCAACAATATTTAAATCTTTTTCACCTTTTAAGGCGTAAATTCTATTAGCAGTGTTGTATTAAGCATAATAAAATTATTCTTATAAACTCTTACATGTAACTCTTACCCAAATATATAAATCTCTTATAAGTATGGGCATAATAAAGGAAAATTTGATTCTAATCATCCCACCTAATTTGCTCGGTTTGCTAGTAATAATCCCACCTTTTGATTATTATTTAACAATCCCACCTTTACATGATATCTTCTTTTACTAGTCCCTTATGACTGATAACCTATACATTGGGTAAAATCTTTTTCTTTTTATTTAAGTAACAAGTGTCACTAAGTAATTAGTAAAAAAAAAGAAAAAATAAAAATAAAAAACTTCAACAAAATTTTTTAAAAAAACCCAGCCTATCCCAACAACCCCCACGACCACCCCCAACACCCACTCCTTCGGCAGCCCCTCCACCCCACCTACCACTTCCTGAACTCAGACCCCAGCGAAAACCAGCCCCCCTTCCCTAAAACCACCCCGATTTCCACCTCCAGCCACGAAACCATCCCTCTTCCCTTCCCCGATGCCGAACAACTCCAGATGAATGAGAATAGATTGAACAGGGATTTGTTTAGCGCAATCATTAAAACCGCCATTAATGGAGCTAAAAAAACTCAATTGAAATCGAAATTCAAAGATTCTTCTACTAATTTTCAGATTTCGGGCTATATCAAATATATATACAATTATACAATGAAATATATGATTGAAATTAGGTAGATCTAAGAACAATAAAAAAAAATCAAATTATAACAACTAATGATGACATTGCATACTTGTCATTCTCATTCAACAATCATATTTGAAGGAGTTAGACATTCCACAAACTAGATAGAAGCGTTTACATATCGAGTCACGACTTAATGATTTTCATTTTTTCGATTCAAAATTTTAGTATGAATCTTTTTTTTTTTTTTTTGGGAAAGGGGAGTCGGCTTTCGCTGGGTGGTGATGGGTTCCGGCGGTGTGGGTGGGGATGAGGGGATGTCGGGAGGATTGGAGATGATGGTTGGCGTGAGGTTGGTCAGTTGGTGTGGACTGGTTTTTTCTCTTTACACGTAACATCTTAACCTATCAAAACAGGTTACTAACATATTAGGGACCAATAAAAGAAGATGTCTTATAAAGGTGGGATTAGGGATGGCAGTGGGTCGGGTTAAATGAGAGACCCGCCCCATCCCCGCCCAAGTGGGGTGGGGATGGAGGGAGATTTGGCGGGTGATGG